GCGATGTTCAAGGCTCCCTTTTTGTAGGTGACCGTGTAGTGAAAATTGGGCTCGAGAAAATCGAGCCAGCGAATCTGTCGTGGGTTGAGGTGTGGCTGTGCGCGGAGGCACTGTAGTGATTTATGGTCTGTCCGTACTGCCACATCTGCGCCGGTCAAGTAACAGTGCCACACTTTGAACGCGTGTACGATCGCAAGCATTTCGCAGTCGTGTATCGGGTAATTTTTCTCAGGCGGATGCAGGTTTCGTGACTTGTAGGCCGTTGCCGAAGTCCTGTAGCAGTATGGCTCCGATGGCGATGTCGCTTGCATCGGTAACTACTTCGAATGGGCGGTGTGGGTCGGCAATGCGCAGGACGGGCGGTGAACAGAGAACATTTTTCAGGGCAGAGAAGGCATCATGCTCTTTCTCCCCCCACGTAAAAGCGACCCCCTTCCGTAACAAGTCCGTCAGCGGTGCTGTTAACCGTGCCATGTCGGGGACGAACCGACGCACGTAATTGACGAACCCCAAAAAGCTCTGTATTTCCGTCATATTCGTCGGGGGGTGCTAGGCTTTCACCGTGTCTAACTTCTTTGGGTCACTTTCGACCCCAGCCTCCGAAATGACGTGCCCCAAAAACTCTAGCCGGTCCTTAAAAAACTCGCACTTGGAACCCTCTGTTAGTAGCCGATGCTCGTCTAAAAGCTTAAACACTGCTTCCAGATCTGCTAAGTGCTGTTGTTTGTCGCGACTGTAGACGAAGATGTCGTCAAGGTAAACTATCACGCATTTATCTAAAAGTGGCCTAAACGCCTCGTTTATGGTCATCTGAAATGTCGCTGGTGCGTTGGCCAGCCCGAAAGGCATCACGGTGTACTCGAATGACCCGTACCTAGTCCGAAAAGCTGTTTTGGTGCAGTCCAAGGGTTCGACCCTAATCTGATGGTAACCTCCCCATAAATCTATTTTCGAAAAAACCCGTGCTATTCGCAGTTGGTCGATCTGTTCGTCGACGCGGGGAACGGGGTACCGCGACTTGACTGTTACCCTGTTCAGCGCTCAGTAATCGATGCACATGCGAAACCTTCCGTCTTTTTTTGGCGTGAACAGTATCGGTGCGGCAAACGGTGACGAGCTCGGTCGGATGAATTTCTTCTCTAACTGCTCTCAGAATCCCAACCACTAGACCATTGGGATAAAAGGGCTTGTTTCAGTAGCGGGTCAGTGCGCCCATAACCCCTCAGGCAAACGCGCCTGTAACCCCCCCTAGGATCGATCGGGGATCTCACAGTGTAGCTCTACTGACACCCCCCCACACTGGGAGGCCCAGGACTGAGCACAGTGGCAACGGCCAACATGTGCATACACCGGGATTCGAACCCGAGACCGCTCTGATACCATCTCAGAATCCCAACCACTAGACCATTGGGATAAAAGGGCTTGTTTCAGTAGCGGGTCAGTGCGCCCATAACCCCCCAGGCAAACGCGCCTGTAACCCCCCCTAGGATCGATCGGGGATCTCACAGTGTAGCTCTACTGACAACTGCTTCCTCAGTTCGTCGAGCTCGGGTTGTGTCAGTCTGAACTGGCGCTGTACGGTTGGTTGTGCCCCCGGTTCTAATTCTATTCGGTGGTCATGTGCTCGCTGAGGTGGCAGTCCTTCCGGTAAGTTGACGGGAAAAATCCCGGTGTATCGTTTCAATAGTTCCTGTAGTTCGGGCGGTACCGCTGCCAGCAGTTTCTTGAAATCACTCGGCTGCTCTGCTCCCTCTACCACTGCAATGTCTACTGCGTACACGTCAGCTCCAGCAGCGACAGCTCGTTTCATGGTGACGGCATTGACGTGTACCATTGGAGACTCGGGCGACTCCCAGCGAGGTAGTTCAACCTAGTTACCGCTACTTCGCACAGTGCAGCTACCCGTCGTCCAGTCAATTCGCGGGTTATACCGGCGCAGCCAATCGCGTCCCAGTAAAATGTCGTGCCCATCTAGTGTCGTCACGAGCATTTCCTGTGTAAATCCAAAATTTATCCCGCAGCGGACTTTGACTCTCTCCACCCTTTCCCGTATGTCCAGTGGCGTGCCGTCAACTAAGTGTGCGTCTATCACAGGTAAACAACGGCTAAGTGTCAGTTGCAGTTTTCGTGCAGTTGCGGTATTAACTAAACTGTGACTTGCTCCTCCGTCGATAAAAATCTTCACTGCTGCTCCCTGTATTTTCCCGTGAATCAGTACTGGGCAACCCGTCGCTGTACCCTCCTTATTCATCCGAGTCCGATCGATAGCATGAATCGGTACTGTATCTCGGTGAGGGTCGGTGGGGTTGGGCGAGCAGGCAGCCTCGTCAGTAGTTGGCCCGATTCCTACTGACTGCTGGCGTTTCCCTGCCTCGGAGACTCCCTCCCTTGCTCTGCTCCGTGGCGCCTCAGCTCCGCTGGGCATTCGCTCTTGCGATGGCCCGGCCTATTGCAAGCAAAGCAGCGCCCCTTAAATGGCGCGGCAGCTGCATACGTCGCAACGGCATGTACGGTGGCGTGCTCGATCGGTCCCCGACGACGATGTCCGTAGTAGAACTTTGGTCTCGGACGGCGCAAAATGTCGATTTTTCTTGTCGAGCGCGAGAACCTCGTTGAAGTTCGAGAGCCCGCGTAGCATGATCTCATGCGAGATGTCCGGCTTCAGCCCTCCGACGTAACGGACCACCCGCTCCGCTTTGTGCATGTAGCCGACTTGCTCGCATAATGCAAGAAAACCACTCGTGTAGTCTTGAACCGACCCGAGCTGCCGCCAAGTACGCAGTCTCTGACGCGCCGAAATAGAAGCCGCGATTGGCTCAAAGCGCGCCCGAAGCCCTGCGCACCACGCATCCCACATGCTGTACTGAGCGGTTTCGCAGAATGAACTCCAGGTGACAGCTGGACCCGTGGGCCCTTCCTCTTGCGATGGTGGCTCGTAGGCGCGTGGCGACATCACGATGACTCGCCACCAGTCCATGGCGGGCCCCTCAGCAGCGAGACGGCATATCGGATCTTCGCTGCGTCCGACTCGACGTAATTCGCGTCGAAGAAGACGTTCATCGTGAAGACCCACGATTGAACCGTCGGACCTCCACGCTGGCTCGGGTCGAAGCAGGGTGTGCGTTGCGGCTTGAGTGGCATTGGTGCCATGATGGCCTGTTCGCCACTTGTCGCCGCGAACTCTACGTGTCGACGGGCTTCACGAGGCTCCCGCGGGCTTGGTGCGACTCTGTTTCCCCCCATGCCTGGCATCGGTTGGGCGGCGCCATCGCTGGCTGCACCTGAGCGCTGTCCCACGCTGTCGTGTTGTGTTGGTGTGCCGGACGAAATGACGATCGGCTCGTCCGATTGTGCAAATGCATTTGTCGGTGCGTGTGGTGGCGCTGGAGTATTCATCGTGGATTGCTGACGCGCGGAGTCACGTTCCGCCATGAGCGTCGCAATTTCGAGCGCCGATTCTTCAACTTGGCGCACCTGCGTCAACGTCGCGAGCGTGAATTCGGCCATGGCGGGGGTGTCGGGCAAGCTCAGCGAGAGCCTCTGTCGTAGCCGTATGTGCTTACGAGAGAGCACTACGAGCGGCGGTGCTGTGTCGCTGAGAGACGTCTACCCCTCCCAAAAAAATTGAGATAGTGAGGAAGCGAAGGTGTGGGTGCGGTCCGAGAAGAGATCGTAGGCTCTGAATACCAAGTGTTACGAGTGCAATTGAGTGAGCGAGCGAGAATTGCACTATCGAAGCAAGAGTACAATGGGCGAAGGCATGAGCGAAGAATATATAGCGAAACTTTAGTGGTAACGGTAATGGACTGTGGTTGTCGCGCGGCGGGCCTGGGACTGAGGTTTGGGGAAATGTCGAAGCGGAGGCCCGGAGCGCGGGTTACCTGCCGAGTCGTGAGGTCGGGGTGCGACGTGCGAAGGTGGCGGGAGGATTGTCGATGCGAGGGTTGCGAGTGGTAACGGTGCCGACTGTGGTGCTACAGTGGTGTACGCGCTGAGCGGGGACGCGAAGTAAGGAAAAGGAATACCGTATCCCCCCGGATATACCCCCATGGGGGGCAATAATAAAACAGGTTTTTTCATGGGGGTGGGCTTATAATCGAGTAAATTTATAAGCGCCGGCGTTTATAAAATGACATACATATTTTTTATATCTTTTAACACCAAACTGTAGGTCTCGTGCTTGCCTTTTCAATCGAGTCGAAGTTACATGGGATCGTCTGTGAAATTCTCGCGCGCGCTGGGAGATACACCCAATCTGACTCACATCCAGCTCCTGATAGGTCCTGCTGACTGGACCCGCATCCAGTGCAGGGTCCGAATGTGAAGGGAACCGAATCTGCAACATATCCGCCTGCTAAAGTAAAAATCGTTACAGCTTTTTGAACACATTTCAAATTTTAAAGTTTACGTGCGCTTATAATAAAACAAGTTTTTTCAAGGGGTGCGCTTATAATCGAGGAGGGGATATAAGCGCCATATGCCAATTAGAAGCGCCAGGCGCTTATCCTAGGGTGGCGCTTATATCCGGGGGGAGACGGTATTCCTTACATCGATAATCAATCTATTTTGCCCTCACAAACTACCGTAGCTCAAGGTGGTTCAACAGCTTTCACTAAACGCCAAATACAACACCTTTATCAGAGTCTTGAAAGATCCTAAGGGCTTTTCTCAACCCAACAACGTGTTCACTGCCGGAAACTGCAATTAGTGTCGTCACTATGTTAGTGCTACGTGAGAGACCTAAGTAGGGTGTACATCTACAGGCCATCGCTACATCCTCCTCACCAGCAGGGTGTACGTATCAAACAACTGGCTGAACAAACACGATATGTCCTGATTGGACGGATAGGGCGACTAAGGTGGAGGAGAGGCCGAGAGGAACAGGGAGCGGAACGGAACGGAGAGAGCACGGAGGTTGAGATTTGGGATTGGCTCAGCCCCTAAGAATGCACTCTCAGTGATCTTGCCAGTGTGCTTGCCCCCTGGTCTCCGAGCCACTGTTATTTGAGCTTGTCGCGGGCTCTACTGCGGCCCTTGCTGGTGGGTGCCTGCATGCTGTACTCGCCTGTGTCCCCATCCACATGCAGCGACCCACTGGCCAGACGCTGCACGGCGGCCTGCAGGCTGGGCTTGCAAAGCGCCTCCAGTTCCTCCCACAGCCGCAGGAACTCCTCGTGAGTGCGCGCCGCGCGCTCAAACTCTTCCTGCCGCATGCGGTTCATCTTCTTACGCGTCGTGCCCCCAGGTGTGCTGCCCCCCGAGGTGAGCCGCTGTGTGGACTCCACATGGCGCCGCCACGCGTCACGGCACTCGTCCGCCTTGCGCCGCACTACGGCACACGCCTCCTCCATCAGCTCGCTGCCATCCTCCACCGCCACCATCGCCCCCTTCCAACGAGCCACAGCTGCCGCGCGCCGAGCCTTCTCCTCAGCCACGGCGCGCCTGGCGGCGTCGAGGCGCTCGAGAGCGGCGGAGACACGGGCCTCTGCGACGTCCACGGCGTGCCTCTCCTTGTCCGCCTGCACCTCCAGCTGCCGCGCACCCGATGAGAAGCGCAGCAGCGCCTCGTGCTCCAGGCGACTCACCTCGTCCATCTCGTCCGCTCCATCTGCTGGCCCACCGCCCCCCTGCCGCACTCCCCCCTGCCCTGATGCACTGCTCGGGGAGTAGCCTGTGGGGGAGAGCCGAGAGGGGCCGTGGAGGGAACCGCTGTGCTGACCCTGCTGCTGTTGCTGCTGCTGCTGAGGGGGATGCGGAGGGTGGTGGTGGTGGTTGTGGTGGTGGCGGTAGGTTTTGCCTTGGGAGGGGCTGGCCTGGGAGGAGGAGGCGCTGGAGTGGGAGGGGCTGCCTTGAGACGAGGGGCTGGCGTGGTAGGGGCTGCGCGCATAGGGGCTGGCGTGGGAGGCGGGGCTGGCATGGGAGAGGGAGTGCAGGGCGAGGTCAGAGGAGCCCAGAGGGGCACGCGGGATGGCCACTGTCAGCGACGAAAAGGACGGCGATGCCGCGTGGTGCACCGCGTGCGATGATGCCGATGCTGCTGTTGCTGGTGCTGCTGCTGCTGACGATGACGTGGGTGGAGCATGTGCGTCGGATGGAGACCCCCCCCTTACACCATCATGGGAGCTGCCAGAGGCCATGGCAGTGTCTGTGGGCCTGCCAGAACTCTCCTGACCACCGGGTAGGCCCTCTCTCGCCTTGAAGCGGCGCAGCAGCAGCGTGGCACTGGGCTCGGGGTCCATGTGGCCTCTACCCAGCCCCTTCCTCCTGCCCGCACCTGATGCCGCCGCTGCTGACAGCAGCGCCTCCGCGTCCTCCGCCTCCCTCTGCTGCTCCTCGTCCGCCCCCACATCTCCCCCGCGCCTGCGCGCCCGCTCTTTCCCCTTCTTCCATCGCCTCGCCAGCTCCCCTGCTGCGGGTGCGGCCGCCGCTCCTATGCCCTGCCACACCCCTGCGTCTCCCCGTGAGTCAAAGAAACGCGCTGCAGCATCATCCATCTCTGCTGCTAGTGTAACCTCATCCCCCTCCTCTCCTCCCTCCACTCTTCCAACTGCCCCCTCTTCTGCCCCTTCTTCTTCCCCCACTCTCTCTTCCTCCCCCACTCCCTCTTCCTCCCCCACTCCCTCTTCCTCCCCCACTCCCTCTTCCTCCCCCACTCCCTCTTCCTCCCCCACTCCCTCTTCCTCCCCCACTCCCTCTTCCCCCCCCACTCCCTCTTCCTCCCCCACTTCCTCTTCCTCCTCAAAGTCCTCCTCTTCCTCCTCTTCCTCCACTTCCTCCCCGCCCTCTTCCAATTCTTCAAATTCCTCCTGCTCGTGTTCCTCCTCCTTCTCAATCCCCTCTTCCTCCATCCCCCTTCCTCCCTCCTCCTCCTCCGCCTCCCCCTCCTCCTCTTCCTCCGCAATACCACCACCGTTCACCAATACACCCATCCCATACTGCCCGTCTAAGCTCCTCACACCCCCTTCACTCCGTGCACTTCTCTCTCCGCCGTCCTCACCCCCCTCCCCCGCGTCCCACTCCGCGCCCTCCCCCACGCCACGCTCCCCATCCATCTCCCAGCCCCCCAGCACCACTCGCTCCCTGCGCTCCCTGCCGCGCATTCGCGACGCGCCACGGCCCCTGCCGCGCCGCTCGCCGTCGTCCCCATGCGGTGGCAGCCCCATGGCGCCCTGTGACCCCGGGCTGCGCACCTGCACCTCCTCGCCCTGCTCGCCGTCCCCCCGCAGGAACGCCAGCGGGCGCAGGCGCCGCGACGACGCACCCAGGTTGGGCGTCATGGGCTGCCTGTGCCACGCGCGCACGCCCCGAGAGGGCACGCCCACCGCATCCCACTCATGCCCGCTGCCGCTGCTGCTGGTACCGGTGGCAGCAGCGTCGGGCAGAGTGAGAGCAGCATAAGTGGAAGGTGGTGGTGTAGTGGCGGTGGTGGAGGGTGGAGCAGGCGCATCAGGCATTCCCTCACTGCCGGCAGCTGCAGCAGTGGGGGCGCCTCCAGAAGGATCAGTGGCAGCAGCAGGGGCTGCAGCGGAATACAGGTCCCGAGGGCCGACCATGTGCGCGCCATGCAGCACAGGTGCATGTGAAGAAGACGCCACGGGCGCAGCAAGGCCGGATTCCATGGCGTCACCACCACCATCACCATGTGCAGCAGAGGCAGCAGCAGCAGTAGGGCAGAGCCCAATGGCATGGGCAGCATCAATCTGCCGGCTGTCGTGAAGGTTGTCGTCGCTGTGCGTGTGCAGGGGAGCGGACAAGGTAGCAGGCGACACCATGGATCGGAAGCTGGGGGCATCTGCAGGGGATGAGCCCAGCAGGGGTGATGGGGTGGCGATGGCCGTGGGTTCAGGTGGGGAGGTGATGTGCGCGCCATGCTGCTCATATGCGTGCTGTGTTGGGGTGGAGTGGGCATTGGGAGAACCTGTAGATGGTTCGGATGCAGGTTCAGGGGAGGCAGTGGGAGGTGGAGCAGCAGCTGCACTGGCCGCAGCTGCAGCAATGTGGTGGTCCGTGTGAGAGAACGACCTGGATCCTCTACTCGCACTCCTGCGCAAACTCCTGCCACTGTTATCCCTGTCCCGCGCGCTAACCGCACCGCCACCAGCATCACTGCCAACAGAGGCACTGGCAGCAGCAGCATGAGGAGCAGTGGCAGCAGCGGCAGCGGTGGAGGGGTGATCGGGGGGCGTGGCTTGGAGCATGAGTTTCTTGAGCTTGGCCTTCTCCTCGATCATGCGCACCTCCTGCCTTAGCTTCTCCAGCTCCGCCCTGTGCTTGCGACTCAGCGTTCCCTTCTTGCCTGCACCCTTGCTGCGGCTGCCACCCCAGGTGCCGCCATACGCGAACGCCTCCTTGCTGCTGCCCCTGCTGCTCTCCCTCTCCTCGCCACGGGCCACCCCACCTCCTTCCTCCTCCCCCTCGCCCACCCCGTTCTCCCCTTCTCCCGCCTCTCCTTCTTTGTCGCCTCTGCCCTTTCTCCCGCCCCTGTCCCGCGCACTCTCCCCCTCCATGCGCGCGCTGCCACTGCCAACAGCTCCATCTGCCGCATCCACGCGTCTCGCCGCGCCCTCCTCCCACGCCTCGCCCACCCCACGCGAGAACCCCCTGCTGCGCGAGCGACGTGAGCGGGTGCTGCCAGGAGTGGCGGGCGTTGCAGGGGTGGCAGGAGTGGGCGGCACCCAGGGGCCGTGGGAGAGGCAGATGGCAATGAGGTCGTCCCGTGCCGTGCTCGCGTGCACGGGCGCGTCTGACAGCACCCCCGCTAGCACCTGGTGGGGTTGCTCACGCATGCGTGGGGGGGTGAGGAAACAGGAAGGGGAGAGAATGGGGTGGGAAGAGGCATGGGGGAAGGGAAGCAGGTGGGCAGCATGAGAAGCAACATGGCGTAGAGGGCAGTGGCGGTGATGATGAGAGGAGTCAAGCAACACAGAGACACAGCCAACATGTGACTCATGGGTCACTGTCGCACCCATACCGCTCATTCCAGCACACCTCACCACAGCAGCGCACTAGCTAGCCGCCTAACATGCAAGCCCACCCACGCCCACCACCCCACACGCCCTCTCGCCAGCCCTTCCCTGCACCACTCCCCCTTCCTTCTCCCTCTCCCCCTCCCGCCCCCTCCCACTGCCGCCCCCCTGAGCAGCACCTGGAGCGCGCCGGTGTTGAGGCGGAGCACGTCGGTGGCGTCCACGGCGTCGCGCTGCGCCATCACGATGCCGCGCATGCCCGCCAGCTCGCCCTGCTCGCCCGCTCGCAGCCCCTCCACCGTGGCCAGGAAGCGCGCGTGCATGGGCGTGCGCGGCGCCAGCGAGTCCCAGTGTGCGGCGCGGTGCAGGAAGGCGGAGAGCAGCTCCTTGTCGCGCTGCAGGAAGCTGCTGCTCATGCGCCGATACATCTCCGACGCCGCCCACCCACTCGCCACTCCACTCCCACCGCCGCTCCCACCACCACTGCTGCTGCTCCTGGCCACTGCCCCGCTGCCGCCGTCACTCGCAGCAGAAACAGTGCCACCGGTGGGCTGTGGCGCTGTGGGCTCATCCCCGCCCGCCACTGCTCTGGCTCTCAGAGCAGGAGGGGCGGGCCATGGCACGGGCGTCGCACCTCTGCCCCCCCCGCCCATCCCTGACCCCATGCCCTCCCCTAAACCTCGTAATCTCTCCCTCCGCCCCGCATTCGCCTCTGCGTCCTCTCCCCCACCCGCCACCCTCGCCTCTCCTCCTCCTGCCACTGCCCCGTCCGTGGCGTCACTCCCCTGCATGCGTGCGCCCGCACTGCCCGCCACACGCGCCACCACACCATGCCCCGCTTCCAATGACCCCACTGCCTGCTCCGCCTCACGCACCCCCTCCACTTGTTTCCCATCCATCCCCTCTTGCCCTTCCCCCTCCTTGCCCGCGTCCCCCACGCCCCTGGTACCGCCCTCCTGCTTCTCCGCCTCAGCCCCCTCGTCATCCCCCCTTTGTGCGGCACCTGAACCTGATGCCACGCTCACTGCACTTCGGGACCCATCCCCGCGCCTACCATCGCGCTGCCCACTCTCCTTCCCGCCCTCGCCCTCCCCCACTATGCCGTTCCCTTGCCCCTCCTCCTCCGCGCCCCGCCCCTCTTCTCGCCCCACCGTGTCCCCTCCCGCGCCACGTTCCGCCACTCCCTCCGCCCCTCCCTCGTCCCCCTCCGCCCACTCGTCCGCGTGCTGCTCCCCATCGGGCGCGGCGAGCCAGGAGGGCGAGGCGACGATGAGTTCGAGCAGCTGCTGGCGGCGCAGGCGCCACAGCCCGTCGTGCTGCGAGAACAGCAGCGCCAGAAGCTGCAGCGTCTCGCGCTTCTGGCTCTTCAGATCCGCCTCCGACAGCCCGTGCGCGCGCACCACTGCGCGGAACGCCTGCGCCCGGCCAGGGGTATAGCGCCGGCGGAGCAGTGGGGAAGGATGAGCGAGTGGGGGATGTGGGGTGCGCGGGCTTTGAAGAATGGGGTGAGAGCAGCTAGACAAAGCAGCTCGCACAGGCAACGGGGGAGAAACAACAAGCAGCGACAGACAGTGGAGGATTGGAAGAGGGGCGGGGAAAGCGGGCAGGGGGTGAGGGAAGGGACGGGAGGGGTGGGAAGTAGGGGGCAGGGGTGTTCTGAGCAAAACGACAACAGGGCGTGTGAGGGCGAAGCGTTGACGAATGGACGACCATGGGAAGGGCGCGTGGGCTTCACCGCGAGCACGCGCGGGTAAGCACCAGAGCGGACGCTCTGCATGTAGTCGAAGACGTAGAAGCGCGTGGAGGGGCTCGCCTCCAGCGCCACCCACGCGTCGCGGTGCGCCAGGAACTCGCGCATCACCCGCACGTCCTCCGCGCCGAACCCCAGCTGCCGCGACAGCCGCCACCGCTTCCAACCGCTCCCTGCCGCCCCGCCCCCCGAACCCGCCTCCCCTCCCCCGTTCTGCTCCCCTCCGCCGTCTTCCGCCTCCCGCTTTCCCCCGCCTGCCCCTCCGCCCCCCGCGGTGCCCTCAGAGCCCACGGCGGAGACCCCGCTGGCGGACTCTCCGCCCGTGGAGCTCGCGAAGGAGCTCTCGCGGTCCAGCCACCCGCGCAGCGCTGCCGCGTTTCCCCGGCCCACCGTGCCGCCCACTGGCAGCGCCGCCGTGCGACTCCTCCGCCACTTCCATATATCCCGCCGCGACCGCGGAGTCACCGCCCCGCTCGGCGATCCCGCTTGCGCGGAACTCGGGCCCCCCGCCGCCCCTAGCCCCCCGCCCGCGCAGCCCATTTCCGCCATGGCGCGATCCAGCTCCTCGTCCGTGGGGCTCATCGCGCCCCCCGGCGGCATGTCGCGCGCAATGTCGGCGCGCGGGTTGCGCGCATAGGACGCGTCGGACGAGGCGGAGCGCGGCACGTCGCCCTCCGCTGAAAGCACCGCTTGCCCGCCTGCCACCGCGCCAAACTTACCGCGCGCGCCATCAACACCCCCTGCGCCCAGTCTGTCGAGTCCCGTCCCCCCCCCTTGCTTCTCTCTGCCTTTCCCCGACGGCTCTCTGGCGCTGCCCCGCGGAGAGTCCTCCGCGCCGTCCTTGCGGTCCTTGCGCGACAACCAGCTCCGCAGCTTCACGTCGGGGATCATACCGCCGCGCCTGCCTACCGCTGCCCCGTCTACCGCCCGCCGCCGCCCGTTGCCCAGCCCACTCGCCGTACGCCAAGCGGGCGCAACTGGACGCGCTGCTCGACTCCGATCCGCGCTGCTCTCGGCTTGGCCTCCGCCGCTGCGGCTGCACTGCCTGAGGCTCGTGCAGTGAGCCGACGAGAGGAAGCAAGGCGCAGCCCTAAAAGGCTCTGGCTCTTCTACCGCGCGCTCTCTCCGCTCGACTCACCCCAGCAGCTCCTTGCACCAACCCTTAGATCCGTCGCGACGGCCTCCGCGGCACGGGCGCCATGGCCTGGTGCATCCAGGTCCCTCTGCCAACAGCCGCGCCTGCCACCGCACTCAAAGCGGCTCCAAGGTTGAGCTCTGTGCACGTGGCGTGTAAGTCACGAGGCGCCTCGCGCCTCGGGCAACGCATCGCCATAAGCGTGTGATTGATAACTTGACGCCGCCTATATGCACAGCGGGTGTCACCTTCAGGCTTACAAAGCCTGCCGTTGTTAGTCGTACGTTTGCACGTGAGTAGTTGTGTATGTGACGTTGAGGTGAAGTAGCCTGGGAGAGAGCGAGGGAGGAACTATGTGTTGGGCAAGTACGGAGCGGGGGAGTAGGGAGAAGCTTGTCAGAACAAACACCCCACTCCACCCATCCACAACTGGGCCGCGAGCAGGCTGAGCTGGCAGGGAACCAACGAGCCCGCCGGACCACGCCCCTCCCGCCAAACAAACACTGGCCCGGACCAGATTGGCTCGGCAGCCGAACCGAAGCCTCCTATGACTTGTAAACAGAGTTCACTGTACAGCCCATGTTTCGATGTTTGGGCTGGTGTGGTGAGGTGAGTATGGTTGCGGTGCTGCCCGTCCAACCACCTCAACAGCTTCGGGACCAGGGCTGTCGCTTGCTCTGTGCTCAGAACTTAGGGCGCGTAACTTTTTCGCTATTCATCGTCCGGACGGAGGCCCCGTCCGAACTTTTGTAGGGTTACTAAAGTCGTCACAATTCGTCAGACGGTTCGCAAGACCCCTCGCGACGTCGCGATCGCCCGTACGAGGAATGACACTTTTCTGTCAGTTCATCGTCCGTTCTACGCTACTGTCACCGTCCGGACAGCATTTCGGACCGTGCGGAACCCTTGCAACGTCATTGGTGCGCGAGACACATTTTCAGAATCAAATTTCCCACTCCAACTTTCAATTTGTTTGTGTGTTGTACTCATAGTAGCGCGAGCAAGAGGACAAAGTGGTTAGAAAGTTTAAACATTACGGAGTCGCAAATGCATGCTTGCGAATTTGGCGATGTGCTGGTGAGGTAGGTTATGCTCGTTACTATTTCGCACGAATTTCAAAATTCGAAACTGAAAAAAAGTGTCACAATTGTGGTACGGACGCTTCGTTGTCCGAACCACATCCTCATCCGTCCGGACGGAGCTCCGTTCGGACGTTTTGCGGGCTCCGTCCGGACATTTGACTAAAAAAAAAAAAAAAAAAAAAGTTACGCACCCTTAGCGGGCTGAGGTGCCCTGAGTTCAGCCCTTATTTATCCAGGTTGAGTCAGATATCAACACTTAGATCCAGGGATGCACATCCTTCTGCACTTGAGCGTAAACGCATCGTGACAGTAGATTGTCAGAATGTTATGCTTGTCTAGTGTGCAGTGGGGTACTCTATAGCGAATACAACCCAAATTAGGGTTTGCTATATGTACTGCCCTGCTTACTAGTGAAGTCCTCTTTCTGCTTCTAATTTTCTGCTTGCCTTTCTGACATGGTTTCAGAGCATTTACGCTCCTCAGCGACCGTGATTGCCGACTTGTTGTCGATGCAGAGGATGTTATGTGATGCTATCACTTGCATTCACGTCTGTCTGCCTCCCATCACATGTTCGTGCGTTGCATGCGTGGTGTGAGCGTGTGCAAGAATTTGTGTTTGATGTGGTTTGGTTTGTCTGAGTGTGTGTGAATGTTATTTGGCTTGAGCAGCTATCTGAACTGACTCCTCTGCTCAAGAGCTTTCCGACGAACCAAGTATCGCTTCAATCGGAGCACGAACAAGAAAGTTACGAACGTTGGAAGTTCGTATGCTTTTGATATATGGTTGTGGTGACTAGGGGAAGTTGTGGGGTGGACTCCATAAGGGGTATAGACTTTTGGGGGTTGGGAAATTTGTCAACATCACTGTAGATGCTGCCAAATGGTTGGGAGGTGCCAAACCAGGTTGGCAAGTGTGGCCAAGTTGGGCAAGGTGGATGGCATGGGTTGGAAAGTGACAAAAGTAAAAGTGGGGTTCCTATAGGGAAGGGATTTGGTGTGCTTATGGGGTTTCCTTGGTTGGGGACTCCTTGGGGACCTTCCCTCTCGTCCTACTCTTCCCTCCCACCTGGTTAATTGCTACTCTTACTTCCTTGTGTGGTAATCGTGGAACTTGTGAGATTATTGTGTTTGAGTTAAGATTCTATGGCAGCATACCCCCTAGTGCGCCGAAATTGATAACTCAAGAAATACTTCACCTTTTTGTACGATTCAACTTGGGAATTGTAGCCACGGAATAGAGCTACAATATATTTGGGTTTAGTGAAGTTTTGACTGTGAACTTTTCGTCGACGGAGTTTCTTGTGAGCGCGACTTTTCTGTCCAGAAATTGAGACCAACGATTTTGAGAAATTTAGGCACCTAATCTTCATAGACTCCGTCCTTAGTTTATAACAAGTGGTATCAGAGCTGATTAAGGACTTTGTGGAGAGTCTACTGAAGTGTGAAGACCCTCCTAGATCCACCATGGCCTGTGGGCGTGCCTAAGTGGAGTTCTGGAGGTTGGATGTGACTTCCGCTAAGGGGAAACTCTGCCGAAATTTCGTTGGCGCCAACTCTTGCAAAGATTGTGTGGATCTACATTGTGACCAGCAAAGGGGGGAGCTGAAACCTCTGATTGGGAGCAGAGGAGATGAATCAAGGGAGTGGAGATGCAGCTAAGAAGAGGAGTGAACCGCCACCATCCAAGATCGAAGCTTTGGATGGCTCCAACTATGAGGAATGGAGCGGGCAGATGCGGAGCGCCTTCAAGCGCTACAAGCTGCTGAAAATTGCAATGGGAGAGGAGAAGATGCTGGGGGAAGGAGATGCCCACGATCGGTGGATTGAGAAGAGCGCGATGCTGTACGACCTCATCCTCCAATCGGTCAACAACTACATGTTCCAGCACATCAAGAATCTGGTGGAGTTGGATGATTCCGGACCGAAGGCATGGAAGCTGCTACGCGACATGATTCAGCCCAACACGCTGCCGATGATGATTGTGTTGGAGAAGGAGGTGGCTGCCCTCTCCATGAAACCGGGAGATGATGTGAAACCGGTCCTTGACAAGATTAAGGACACATATGCGAGGATGGCAGCGGCGGGCAGCAAAGTGTCGCAGATGCAACAGTGCACCAAGATCATCTCGGTGCTCGACAACTCGTGGGACAACCTCATCCCCACCCTCAACGTTCAGCAGGACAAATGGACGCCTGAGTGGCTACGGCAGCAGATTATGCAGAAGGACTTCCGCAGGCGCCACACGGGAGGTGGTGCTGCCAACAAAACTGCTGAGGGGTATGGAGCTGCAGGAGGCAGCAGAGGAAGAGGGGGTGGGAGAGGCCGTGGGAGAGGCTTTGGCAGAGGGAGAGGCCGAGGTGACTACAATGAAGGGCATGGGAGTTTTGGTGGCAGGGGGAGCACCCGAATGGAGGGAGCGTGTTGGTACTGCAAGAAGGCTGGACACCCATGGTTCAAGTGTTTCAGCTGGCCTGAGGGATGGGCGCCCCCAGGCATGAAGCCGCCAAGTGGTGAACGTGCACGAGGTGGCGCTGTGCAAGGTTCAGGTGCACAAGGTGATGGTGCACATTTAAAGCCGACCCTGGGATGTTCCTCATGGTTGAGGATGTGCAAGGGAGTAGGGGTGATGTGGGTTAAGGTTGTGATGCACCCCCTCACCCACTGGGTGATAGATTCAGGTTGCACAAGTCACATGACCCCACGGGCAGATTTGCTTGACGAGGTAAAGCCCCCTGGGAAGATAAAGTTTGTGGCTGCCGCTTCAGGTGCCTTGCTTCCTATGATTGGTGTGGGAAATGCCAAGGTAATGGGAGCTAATGGGGGGCTTGTGGGGCTGGGGAATGTGCTGTTGGTTGAAGGTTTGTCCGCTAACCTCCTCTCTGTGCGCCGGCTGCAGAAAAGCAAGGCCAAAGTGACCTTCGGCCCAACCAGCTGCCGTGCAAAGCTTGGGAAGTTGCTGCTGTGGGATTCGGAGGAGAAGAGCAGCTGCATCAAGGACCTGTGGCAGCTGCCAATAATCCCTTGGAATGGGAAACCACCGGCAACGGCAGCGGCTGCAGCAACGGCTAAGGCATCTGCAGGAAGAGAGGAGACTGCACAAACTGATGGGGCCCTGAATGCAGTCAAGAAGGTGCAGCAGGCACAGCAGCCACATGGTGAGGTGCTTGCTGGTGTGGATGCGACCACTGCATGGGCAAAGGCTTCATATGGGAATGGTGATGCCGATTGGTAGACGTGGCACGAGAGATTGTGTCACATTAACATTCCGATGCTGCAGAAGTTAGTGAAGTTTTGATCGTGAACTTTTCGTCAACGGCGTTTCTTGTGAGCGCGACTTTTCTGTCCAGAAATTGAGATCAACGATTTTGAGAAATTTAGGCACCTAATCTCCATAGACTCCATCCTTACCTAATAACAGAGGATGGTCGGCTTCCCAGCGTCGAGCAGCTTGGATTCTGCAAGGAGGAAGCGAAGTCGACGCCCCTCCTTGCCGGCATCCGTGGCCGCCACGTACTTCGACTCGGTCGATGATAATGTCGCGCACTTGATGCGCGAGCTCGACCAGGAGATGGCGGCTCCTCCGTAGATGAACGCGTAGCCTCCCGTGCTCGTCCGATTCTGCTTGTCGTCCGCGTCGACGGCATTGATGTAGCCGATCAGCTCCAACAATTCAG